TCCTGCTTGCTCTTCCATCAACAGATTTAGCCGAGTCTTGTAAACCGCGCAAGCGGTCCATGCTGCAGCGGTACAAGGATCCTCCTTCCTGTTACGTGGTCCCGTCGCCCTCTATTTCCTTCAACCCCGCCGCTCCTCATGCCGCGATGACTTCTGAATTTCCCCTCATGCTATCTTCCCTCGTCAATCCTACGCCCTCACTCCTCCTCCCTCCTTCTTGTTATTCCTCCTCCTCCTCCTCCTCCTCCCCCTCCTCCTATCTCCTATCCTCATACCATGCATAATTTTCCTCATCATCCGAACCTTCCTCCTCATCGGCATCGACCATCTACCATCCGCGTGTATCATCCCTTCTATCATCCTCATCCCATCCAGATGTCCCAACATCTTTCCATCGCCACATCTACGATCAGCATCTCCCTCATCACATTCATCACCACATTCACTATCTGCACCAACATCAGCATATGAATAATTACCGTCACCATCATCATCACCATCACCATCACCATCACCATCATCATCATCATCATCATCATCATCATCATCATCATCATCATGATCATCATCATCATCATCATCATCGTCATCATCAACCTCAACACCATCATCATCAACATCATCAGCAGCAACATCAACATCGATATCATCACCATCAACATCAGCATCATTATCATAATAGTCACCGTCATCGCCAGTACCATCATCATCGTCATCATCATCAGCATCGTCGCGATCACCATCAACAACGTCAGTATTATCAGCAGCATCAGCATGATAATAATCATGATGCTAGAAATAATGCCAATACTATAAGAAAAATACCAGCACCATCAATAAACAATCATATAAATCGTCACCAGTATCATCATTACCATCATCATCACAAACATGATCACCAACATCATCAGCCCCAGCAACAACAAGCTCACCAGCAGAGTCACCGTTAGCGTCGCCAGCAGCATCACCAATATCGATGTCACAACCGCCGTAGCAATCATTAGCAATCGGCACCCATAAAATCAGCATCATCACAAACATCAGTCACACTGCCATTACCATCGTCAGTAATAGCATCAGCATTAACAGCACCATCAACACCATCCACATCATCCACAGCATCATCGACAGCATCGTAATCATCGTAATCACCATCATCATCAGCAGCGTCAGCATCATCATCATCAGCATCATCATCAGCATCATCATCAGCATCATCATCATCATCCACATCAGCATCATCAACATCAGCATCAGCATCATCCGCATCAGCATCATCATCACCAACAACATCAACATCAGCATTAGCAGCATGATCATCATCCGCAGCATCATCGACATCGACATCGTCGTCGCCGACGTCGTCATCATCACCACCGTCATCAGCATCAGCACCAGCAGCAGCAACACCCTCAGCATGTGTATCAACATTACGGTGCATCGTAACATACGCGTCGCCATCAGCACACCCATCCTCGTCAGTATCAGCATCATCGTCGGCATCACCCTCATCATCATCAGCACCATCACATGCATCAACATTATACTGATCATCAACATCATGAATTCCATCATCATCCTCTGCATCATCAGTACCGTCATCATATTAGTCATCGCCGACAGCACCACAATCATCAGCATCAGCATTACCATCAGCACCATGATCGTCAGTAAAATCCATTGTCGGCATCTGCATTATCACTATCATTGCAATCATCAGCATCACCACCACCACCATCATCATCATCATCATCATCAGCAGCATCATCATCAGCAGCAGCATCAGCATCAACATTAGCATCAGTATCGCAACTAGCATCAGCATCACCAGCATCAGCAACAGTAACAGAAGCAGCATCGTCATGAGCACCATCGCCGTCATCATCTGCATCAGCAGCAGCATATCATCAGCATCATCAGCATCATCAGCATCATCAGCATCATCAGCATCATCAGCATTATCAGCATCATCGTCATCGTCATCGTCATCGTCATCATCATCATCATCATCATCAGCATCATCATCATCATGGCTCTCCTCCTGCTGATGGCTCCCCTCCTGCAGCTGCGGCTCCTCCTCCTCCTCCTCCTCCTCCTCCTCCTCATCATCATCATCATCATCATCATCATCATCCTCATCTTCTGCGTCTTCCCCCTCCTCTACCATCTCCTCCCCCACCTCCTCCTCTTATTCTTCCCCCTTCTACTCCTCTCCCTCCTCCTCCTCCTCCTCCTCCTCCTCCTCCTCCTCCTCCTCCTCCTCATGATCCTCACCATCCTTCTCATCGACCTCGTCTGGCCGTGCTGGGGCGGACACGAAGTAGAACTCCCGGCCGTTCACGTGGACCGACGTGTGGTAACCCAAGGCCCCAGCGACGCGGACGACCTCGGAAAGAACTGCAAAGCATGTGTCCCTTTACTCCTGTCGTCCTGGTGCTGCCTCTCCTCTTCTGCCTCCTGCTGCTGCCGCTCCTCCGCCTCCTCCTCCTCCGCCTTCCTCCTCCTCCTCCTCCTCCTCCTCCTCCTCCTCCTCCTCATCCTCATCCTCATCCTCATCATCATCATCATCATCATCATCATCATCATCATCATCATCATCATCAGCATCATCATCATCATCATCATCATCATCATCATCATCATCATCATCATCATCATCATCATCATCATCGCCAGCATCGTCGTCATCATCACCACTCCCCATTTCTTCCTCGTAAGTAATTAACTCATATCTGTCGCACCACCAGACGTGTCGTTCGGGCAGGCGGGGCGTTTCGCCTGAGACCTCCTTGCCGCTGACGACCCGAAATCTGGAAGTTCCGACAGTATTACGGATGGAGGGCGCATCGTTTTCTAACGGGGCTCTTGCCTGAGAGTTCCTCAACCAGAATGCGACTGGCTGCATGTGCAATCCTTGCACTGATGTACGGGATGTACCGTTTCAACATGGGGCTCTAGCTGTTTTTTCCGCGGACGGCTGTGAAAGCTGCCGGCACACCAACTGACATCATATCAGCCGATGAAACAATATCAATGCTTGGTTCCGCCGAATATATCAAATACACCTGAACCATGATACCTGGACAGGGGGTGGAAGAGGAGCAGAGGGGGGGAAATAAGGCGGCGGAAACGCAAACACCGAGGCTGCGCGCTCCCCCACAAACGGCATCGCGGTTGAGACCCGCGCTGCCACCGGCAGCACCCTGTTGGCCAGCCACGCCCACGCCGCAAGGGAGGCGACTTCAGGAAGGCACGATCACGGGGGCGGCAGGGTGACCCTGCGTGTAGAAACTCAAAATAGTCGGCGCGCGAATCGGCTTTCTTCGACGCGCGATAGTTGGAGACCAGTCAAAAAAATCCACGCAGTCTTTCGCCCTTAGGAGAGGAGGGCCCACGACGGGCCGAGCGTTTCTTTCGTTTTTTTTTTGTGATGGAGGGCGTGGGGCTCGTGTGTGGGGGAAAAGAGGGGTTCGTGAGAGGGGTTGTGTGGAGCGGAGGGTAGGAGGAGGAGGAGGAGAAGGAGAGAGGAGGAAGGAGTAAGGAGGAGAAGGAGGAGGGAGAAGAAGAAGAGGAGGAGAAGAAGCAGGAGGAGGAAGGGAGGAGGAGGAGGAAGAGGGAGGATGAGGCGGGGGAGGAGGAGGTGAAGGGGATGAGACCCAGGGGTCTGCCTCTCCCTCTGGGGGGCAAGAAGTTAAAGGACAAGAGCCTCCGGCCTTGCCGAAGGGCCGCCCTCGCGTGCGCATTCTATTTTATTCGTGCCGGCCGTGGGTGGCTCACTGAGCACCTTCCGCCTGGGAAAAAACAGGACGCGTGCTTGACAGGAGGAGGTAGGAGGAGGGAGGAGGAGGGAGGAGGAGGAGGAGGAGGAGGAGGAGGATGGGGGGGTGGGGGAGGAGGGGAGAGGAGGTGGAGGAGGTGGAGGAGAGGGGGGGGGGAGGAGGAGGAGGAGGAGGGAGGAGGAAGGAGGAGGAGGAGGAGGAGGGGGGGAGGAGGAGGCGGAGGAGGAGGAGGAGGAGGAGGAGGAGGAGGAGGAGGAGGAGGAGGAGGAGGAGGAGGCAAGGAGGCCGCACAGACTCCTACTTCTCCACGCCCGACGCCTCCTCGTCCTCGTCGGACTCTCCCGCCTGCAGGCACAGCTCCACATCCTCGTGCGTCTGGGAGTGTATGGGCGCGGCGGCGCCCGCGCCTGCCAGCTCGAGCACGGTGTAGAGAGCTGCTGCCACTCCGAACTTGAACCCACAGATCGCGAAAGTCCCAATGGACACGGCAGGGTTCAAGCTGCCGCCCGAGAGGCTACCGATCGCGAACCCCCCCACGACGATGCATGACCCGATGGCGAGCCCGTTTGCCTGCGAGTAGTTCTTGCCCTCCGCACTGGGTGAGCAGGCGACGCTGATGACGACGAAACAGAGAACGAACGTGAAGAAGGCCTCGGCCACTGCAACCTCGGGAGGGCCGAACGGATCGTTGGGGCCGAGGGTGAAACTCTTCTCTCCGTATATGATCGAGTAAGTAAAGCCTGCCACGAGTGCGGCGCACACCTGGACAACCATGTAGACGGCGGCCTCCTTCGCCTTGATCTTCCCGATCGCCGAGATCGAGATAGACAAAGCCTGGTTAAAGTGCGCCCCCGACACGTCGCCAAGGGAGAAGACCATGACCGTGAGCGAAGCCGCGATGGAGAAAGGCGCGGCGGGGGACGCCGCCAGGACGTTGAGGCCGACCGTGAACACGAGCATTTAGGTCCCGAGCGCCTCCGAGATCACCTTGGCTTTCATCTCGGCTCCGCTCTCCCCATCTTCAAACGCATCGGGCCGCACCTGCTTGAACAGAAATGCCGCCAGCGCACCGCCCACGAACGCGAAAGCGGCGTACACGGGGAAATAGCTCAGGCTGCCGGGGCTGTGGTTGCCGCCCGTGTAGACGCCGAACGCCACGGCGGGGTTGAAGCAGCCCCCAGAGACAGCGCCCGCGCCGAACGCGCCCGCCAAGATCACGAGGCCGATCGAGAGGCCGTAGAACTGAGGGCTCGCGTTCGCCGCGGCGCAGGCCGTACTGAGAACGACAAAGCAGAGCATGAGCATGAGCATGAACGTGCACACGAGCTCACACACGCCCACCTGCCACCACTCGAAGCCCTCCGCCGACGGCGAGGGCAAACTCCGAGCTCTTGAAGATCGCGCGGGCGAGGATGCCCGCCAGCGCGCCCGCCAACATCTGCACCAACGAGTAGAGGAAGACGTCAGCCCAGGGCGACTTGCCGACGAGGCCCAGCGTGAAAGACACAACGGGGTTGAAGTTCGCTCCAGAAATTTTTGCCAGGGCGTAGATGCCGACCATGAGGGAGAAACCGATCGAACTGCCCGCCGCTGCCGTGCCGCTGAGGACGTTGCAGCCGACGGTAAACATCAGAAGGAAGGTGCCCACGAACTCGCCGACGAGCGCCCTCTTGCGAGCCATTGCGATTCCGATGGACGTGCCAAAAGGGAGCTGCTGTAACGGGCTGCAGAGCAACAAATTGTGCCCGAATTGTGCAACATGTATCTGCAACAACAAAGACCTTGAGTCAACAACAGCATGGGGCTCTAGCTGTCTGATGGCCCGAACCGAAGACTAAAACTGCGCAGCATTGAAACTGATGGAGGGCACTGAATTGTCAAAGCGGGGCTGTCGCTGAAGACTTGCTTTGGATTCATGCTCCCACCCTGGCGGGCTCCCAATAGCTCTAAGGATTGAGGGCAGCTCTATGTCAAAGAGCAAATCACGCCTGAATTGCGGGCCCATGCGACCCTGCCTTTCAAAGGGGCGCTTCGGCCGTGAAAAAGGGTGCCAGTCAGGAATTATGAGGGGGGGCTTTGGACGACAGGGTGATTGCAGCATATCAGCAGCAGCATCATCATCATCATCATCATCATAATCATCATCATCATCATCATCATCATCATCATCATCAGCATCATCATCGTCCCCACCAGTGTCATCATAATCATCATCAGCATCATCACATCCAGCATTATCAGCATCAGCAGAATTTGCAGCATCACCAGCATCTCATCATCAGCAGCATCATCATCACAGCAACAGCATCATCATCGTCATCATCGCCATCATCATCGTCATCATCTTCATCGTCATCATCAGCATCAGCATCGTGATCGTTATCGTAATCGTCATCGTCATCAGCATCAGCATCAGCATCATCACCGCCATCATCAGCATCATCAGCATCATCATCATCATTATCATCATCATCATCATCATCAGCATCATCATCATCAGCATCATCATCATCATCGTCCCCACCAGTGTCATCATAATCATCATCAGCATCATCACATCCAGCATTATCAGCATCAGCAGAATTTGCAGCATCACCAGCATCTCATCATCAGCAGCATCATCATCACAGCAACAGCATCATCGTCGTCTTCATCGCCATCATCATCGTCATCATCTTCATCGTCATCATCAGCATCAGCATCGTGATCGTTATCGTCATCGTCATCAGCATCAGCATCAGCATCAGCATCATCACCGCCATCATCATCATCATCATCATCATCATCAGCATCAGCATCGTCGTCATCATCATCATCATCATCACCATCATCATCATCGTCCCCACCAGTGTCATCATAATCATCATAAGCATCATCACATCCAGCATTATCAGCATCAGCATAATTAGCAGCATCACCAGCATCTCATCATCAGCAGCAGCATCATCACAGCAACAGCATCATCATCGTAATCCTCGCCATCATCATCGTCATCATCTTCATCGTCATCATCAGCATCAGCATCGTGATCGTTATCGTCATCGTCATCGTCATCAGCATCAGCATCAGCATCATTACCGCCATCATCATCATCAGCAGCATCATCATCATCACCAGCATCATCAGCATAATCATCGCTCCTGCTCGCCCCACCTCCTCCTCCTTCGTACTCCTCCTTCGTCTCCTCCTCCTCCTCCTTCGTCTCCTCCTCCTCCTTCGTCTCCTCCTCCTCCACCTCATCCTCTCCCCAATATCTTCTTATCTTCCTACCTCGAGATTCATGTTCCAATGAACCTCTTCGACGGTGTTCTACGCCCCAGATCTGCCGTACGTGGCAGCTTCAGCTACCTTACCATGGCACGGACGCGTCACGCACAAAAAAAACAGATCTAACGCGCAGACAATATCTACCGCTGCCGCTGGCAAGAAGGCTGGCACTTTCGGCCACACCACTGACTCCAGCATCCACTGTAGCCACACTTATCACTTGCGGCGGGCAGCGGCAAGGTAATCATTTAAGCATTGGTGTTGTGTCCCCACTTGGTCAGTCTCGATATCCCCTGCACTCCAGCACTCCACATATCCTCGTTTCGCGACAGCGGCAGCCACACGTTTCACGTCCTACACTGAGGTCGGCGTGCCTCTCACTCCAGGGAGCCAGCTGACGGACGCCGCGAGATCTCAGATCGACTCGACATCTCTCCCAATCCTCCCTCCTTCCTTCTTGCTCCTCTCTCCCTCCCTCCCTCCCTCCTGCAGCCCTAGATCGTGGCGTTGACATGGGCATGAGCATATGACGTACTGAGCACATGATGCTGGTTCCAGGGGGTCCGTAATCCATCCACGTGAAAGTGCCAACACGTGAATGTTTCCTGTGGGTCCTCTCATGTTGCTTGGTGAATCTGTTAACGAGTGCACTGTGGATCTAAGGGTCAATGCATTACGACCGCGGGATGTTGAGGTGACCGCTTCGGGGAATAGGAGTAAAGGAGTGGACGGCGAGGTTACGAAACACGGCGGGCATAGCCAGATGTGGTGAACCATGCTCAGGTAACGCACCTCGTGATGAGATGGCTCTTTTAGTTCGGCTGCCAGTTGCTGGAATTGACCGCACAAGCTCTTGTTGGATTGTGGCCCGTGTATGCTGACAGGCTGACGGGCGGTAGCATACCAGAACTCATCAGAGTGGCAATGAGGCAGAGCAGCACCGAGTAGATGCTGACGGTGTCCGACTGTCCGTTTTGTCCATATTTCCAGGTCGCAGGCGAACTGCAAGGCGAGGATCTAGGGGAGAAGCAGGCGAAGGTGTACACGAAGGCGTCTGCCTGGAGCAGCCACTGCAGTGGGCGAGGTTGCTTGGTCATAGTCCTGCAGGCTTCCGCTGCGGTGGCAAGAGCTCATACCCGTACGCAGAACGCTACATGACGTTGCAATCGCTGTCATGGTGCTAGTCGGCTTGCGATGACTCGACGTTGGGATACCGCGCGTCTGGTTGGTATGGCATGCCCCACGTGTGACAATGATTGCCCGTAGATGAGTGTCCCAATGAAAATACGTGCCAAATGAAAACTGGCCTTCCTTGTCACTAGAACCGCCGTGATGCGAACCATACAGGTATTTGGATTCGGTGTTGTCGCTCGTACGGCCAATAATGATCTGCTGAAACCGTCGCTTTCCCTCATTCGCAGGCTCGCCCCACTCGTGACTAAAGCTGACACATAGACACGCCCGAACGGCTTAATAGATTCCATTGCCAAGCGATGTTGTCCCCTGTGCTTCACGCTTGCCAGAGCGCACCCGTCAACACGAGGCCCGAAACCCATCTTTCCGCCGCGCTCTTCGAGCTGGATCGATCCGTGCTGGCCACGGGGCCCGAGCCTGGGAGAAAACGCCCGGGGCGAACGCACCGCACAGCCCAGACCCCAGGGGGGACGGCAAGGGGACCAAAAAGCGAACCCCGTCGTCGTCGACGCCATCTTCGCTTCAGGCCCGTCACCTGGAGCGCCTGGGACCCACTCTGAGTGGGGGGGAGGGGAGGGGCCAGAGTCGGGGGCTTCACTTATTTGCCCACCCGCGGGACCCAGACATCCGGCTGCTCCAACTTTTTGGGGGCGTGGACCCCACGAGGTCCCGACCACTTCCCCGGGGCCAGCTTTCCGTCCGAGCCGCTTTTTGACGCTCCCGAGGCCCGGCGGGGGCCCCCGGAGGCCGAAAACTGCCAGAATCCCGCCGCTCCAATTGTTTTGGAGCGCTAGATCTCAGGGGAGGGGAAGGCGAGGCGGACGGCAGCCTCGGTGGCCACCAGGTGCACCGTGTGCGAGAGGCCCGGCATCGCGCGGCCGAGGGGGGGGGGAGGGGCGGCGGTGGGGCGGAACGGCGGCGCGGGCCTCACTGCGGGCTGCGGGCGCCGGCGAGGGGTCGCGGCGGGAGGGCGGGGGGGGGGGCAGGAGGGGGAGGAGGGCCGGGGCGGGAGGGGGGGGGGGGGAGGGGCGGAGGGTCGGGCGGGGAAGGGGGGGAGGCGAGGACGGGCGAGAGGAGAGAGGAAGAGAGAGAGAGAGAGGGAGGGGGAGGGGGAGGGAGGGGGAGAGGGAGGGGAGGAGGAAGAGGAGGCAGGACGCAACCCAGGAGGAGGAGGAGGGGAAGCAGGAGGAGGCAACACTCCTAAAGAGGACTGGACGAACGCAGGCGGGCACGACCGAGAAGAGAAAAGAGTCGTCCGTCAGGCCGCCCGCCGAGGATGAGGCGAGCCCCACGGGCGCAGCCGCGGGCGAGAGAGCAGGGAACGTTGCGAGGGCAACACCCTTTGGCGCGTATGTGGTTACATACGTAGAGGAGGGACACCTATGACACATCTAGTATCTTCTACTGTCTAACACCAAACAAAACATTATAGCCGGAGTGCAGTATCCCCAAACAGGGTTTTTAGACCCACTGCGGTTTCCAAGGTCGACACATCTAGTACGTATCTTCTACTGCTTCACACACAAAAGAATGGCGTCTCCGGAGGCCCAGAGACCTGCCTCCTCGACAGGAAGAAGCAGGAGGAGAAGGCAAGAGGGAGAGCAGGAGGGGGAGGGAGGGGAAATGGGAGGGGGAGGAGAAGGGAGGGGGGGGCGGAAGGCCGCGAGGCATCTCATGCTGGAGCGCCGCCCCGCGCTCCCCGTGCTGCCTCCTGCTGCTCTGGCGCCCTGCCGCTCCAGCCCTGCCGCTCCAGCCCTTGCTGGCTGCGCCCCCCGCGCCTCCTCCTGCCCCGAGCCGGCGCGGCACCGGGGGGGGGCCTCCCGGGGGAGGCGCAGCCGCACGGGAGGAGCCCTCCCCCCCTCCCGGCGCCGCGCGCGGCGCCTCTCCGCGAGAGTCCCTCCCCGGAGGGCACGGAAGCCGGCGCCGCCGAGGGGCGCAGAGGCTGCGCGGGCGCGCGGGCTGCGGAGCAGGGGGGGGGGGGGCAGGAGGAGGACGGGACGCGGGGCGCGGAGGAGGCGGGCACGGAGAGGAGCAAGAGTGAGGGCGAGCATGAGGAGGAGGGGTGGGGGGGGGGGGGAACGCAGGGAGGACAGGGGGAAGGGAGGCACAGACAGGTAATGCAAGGGGCGGGAGGAGAGGGAAGATCAGGACGAGCAAGGAGAGAAGGACAACGACGGCGTCGACGACGACGACGTCGACGACGACGAAAGCAGGAACTCATATGAGGCGGACGGGAGGAGAAGGAGTAGGGGGGGTATGACAAAGAGAGTGTCGGAGGGAGGACGGGAGGACGGGAGAAAAAGAATGGAACACGTGACACCTGCCCTCGTCGCGGGGCACCGTGGCATCCGAGAGG